GCACATGATTCTGACATTTTTCCTGCTTCTGTGCTTTCTTTCAGAGATTTCATTTTACCATTTACTTAATCTTTCATCAATACCTCTATCAAATTCATAATTTCTATCACATCCTCATCATCCATAGCTCATCTAGATTGGATTAATCCTTGATCTAATAGGAGGTAATTACATTTATCAAATACACTTTATCATCCACCTCAAGCTTATCTCCTACTTACTCTTGCTCCAGCTTCTGGAGTATATCTCTACCAAGGAGATACTTAGCATTGCAACTGTACCTACTTAGTTTCACTGCAGGTTTTCTTATTCATTCTATTCATCTTGAATAAATATTGAAAGGGTTTGTGATCCATTTTTATTGTAAAGTCTGCATTGCTCAAATAATAACCCAATTTTTAGTATGCATACACTCTAAATTATGCTTCCTTCTCTATCACAGGCTTCTATTGTTGAGTCTTGGAGATTTTATGGGATAAGAAATAAATTGGCACCTCTTCTAGAATTCTGATCATCCATCTGTCCACTCTCAGACATGGCTGGCTGAGACAAGCCTTAAATCATATGTCACTCACATCTGTATACAGGATCATCAGCCAACTCATGTCTGGACAAAATAACATGGAAAGTGCTTTTGAGTTCTTTTAATATATCAGAAGAACATTGGTAATCTACTTAAACCTCACACACTTTTTTGTTAAATTTATGAAGTGGGTAGTAGTTCTTGAAAATGCAGGCATAAATCTCCTGTAATAGCCAATCCCTCAAATAAACCCTGATCTTTCTCATTGTAGGTGGTTCAGGCATGGCTCTAATTTCTTCTTTATCTAAATCTTTTTTTACTTTATTTTCATTTTACAATGTATCCCAAATATGTTGTTTCTTCTTTGAGTAACTGTCTTTTTAGTAATTTTAATTATGGCTTGTGTTCCTTCCATCAGTTGAACACAGCCTGCAATTGCCAAAAATGTTCTTCCAGATCTTTCAAGACAAGCAAAATATTGCCTAGGTAGAGCATGGTGAATGCTTTCTACTAAGCCAGCATATATTGATGGAGGATTCCAATGCATTTACCAACTCTAAAAGTGTTGATCTCAACTGGTATAACCCCACATGTCATAATAAGGCAGTTTTCTATTTATCTGCCTCTTTCAAAGATACCTGCCATTGTTCTGATCTAAGATCAGGATACAGGCAGGTGTCTGTAAAAACCTTGGTTTTGCATGATAATATGCATTATAATCCAAACTTTAATAAAGCATCTAATGGGATGAATGCAGACAAATCATTCTTTAAGGTATAAATGATCTGATCATTTTGTTCAAATATAATTTGCCACTTCAGCCATTTATATATATATATATATATATATATATATATATATATACAATATTACTGAAAACCTTTGTTTCTTATTGTCATAAATATATTTGATAGAAGGGAACAAAAGTTAAACTTTACCAACAATTGCTTTGTAATTCTGTCCACTAATCTTTAGATCAATTAACTAGTCTTCAATATAAATGAATTTTATTGTGCCTCATGTATCAGCTAGAGTAAATGTCTGTTTTTTTAATAATCTTTGAAGTTCTTAGATAAAACATTGTTACTATTTGTATTGATATTGCCAATTAGGATTTTACCTATTTGCATGTGTTGGCCATAGGAGAAATAAAGTATAGAATAAAGAGTCAGACAGGAGAAGGTTGACTATGTGATCACATGTTGTAGAACAACACTATACAACAATATGGTGTTACTGATATGATGTTTAAGTCTCTTGGATGAACCAGAATTCATTGAGACTTGGATCTGGTGTATTGCAGCCCAGGATATGGCTAAAAAATTTAAAGACAGTAAGGCAAGTGGGTGAGAAAATGAAATAACCAACCTCTTCCTACCTTCAGTAGGTTGTGAAGCTATAATGAAATTTTGTTATAGCATACCACAAGCAATTGGAGAATTTGACTTTCGTCAAATTTTCACAAATGATACAAAGTTATGACCAAATTCCTGTCCATTAAACAAAAACAAGATGAATCAATTGTACAATATCTTCACAGATTAAGAGAAGAATCTGAGAAATTGGGAACTCAAGATTCGATTATAGAGAATGAATTGATTCAATTACAGTTGATTAAATGTATGGCTGATATATTTCATAAATATAAGATTTTGGAACAATTACAATTGAATAATTTGTCTCTAACTACATGTATGGAAGTTATAAAACTGTTGGAATTGATTAAAAAGTATAATTTTACTGAGGACAATGTTGAAATGTACAGTATAAAAAAGGAACACAAGAAATGCAAATACTGTAAGTATGAGATGGAAATAACAGAAAAAAGTGTCCTGCTTTTGGAAAAATGTCATAACTGTAGTAGAAAAAAATCATTTCAGTATGTGTCCAAAGTTAAAATGAAAATAGATAGTATAGAAAAATTGAAAGAAGAAAGAATTGATGACGTCTTTTCAATACAAAGACCTAAGGAAAATAATTCTTTTGAAATAATTAAATTAAATGGCATGACTTTGCCAATGCAAGTGGATATGGGGAATGAAGAGTACATTGAAATTGAGAAAAAGTCATCTGGAATTGAGACAGTTTGATAGATCTTTTATAAGAACTTTGGGCTACTTCAATGGCATTTTTGAAACCTGTGACCAATTTTAAATTATTTCCATTACAGTAGTGGAATGTAAAAAAATTCATGGACTGCTCACAATAGATGTTCTAAAGGTGGATATGTCAAAATTAATCAATACTGTAAAATCAGAAAAAGTAAAAACAGGAGTATTAAAGGAGTATAAAGCAAGCATACAATAAAATGAAAATAGTACCCCCCTCCTATTTTGACCCTATAAATTACCTACTCACTTTCTACCTTTAATGGTTACCAAGTTAAAGAAAATGGTAGAGGAAGAAATTTTGATGTATGTTCCTCCAGGTAATAGTAAATGGGCATATCCTATCGTAGTTTTGAGAAAATCAGATGGAGATTTAAGAATATGTGGTGATTTAAAATAGGTGTAAATCATAAAATATACTCGGTTTTGTTTTCTATTCTAAATATTGAAAATGCTATCCACAAATTAACAAGCATTAAATTTTTTGCAAAAATTGATTTATAATCTGCTTATAAACCAAATATAGATTGATGATAATACCACAATAAACACCCCCATAGAATTATTAAGAGAATGCAATTGCCATTTTTCAGAGAGCAATAGAAAACGTGTTAACTGAGAAAATTAATAACATGATTATTTATCAAGATGATATTTGCCTTGGTGCCACCACTAAAGACAAATGAAAACAAAAAACAGAACAAGTGTCAAAAAATGCTTGGATGACAATAAACACAGACAAATGTGAATTTGATTGTGATACAATTTCAAAAGCATCCAGAATTAAAGAAAGTGTTAACACAAGACTACATGTGTTTTGATGACTATTAAAAAATTGTTATGGTTTAGCTGTAAAGTTTTCACTCTTCCACTGTATTCACTAGATACTGCACCTGTGCGTGAAAATTTATTCCAGTTTTACAGAATTATCTTGGAAAAATTTCAATCTCTTGGAAAACTAAAAATGGCACTTTCATTAGTTTTTTGCTGAGAAACATGTTGGATAGATAGAATTAGTTGCTCAAATAATTGCAGGTGATAGTGGAATAATATGGTAAATGTGTTGTTCAGTAAGGTTAATCATAAAAAAAAATCTTATATTTACTATTGGAAACAACTAGATAAACTTACTTCATTGTGATGCTTCTAATCATTTGCAGGGGTGGGAAGCAATGTAAACAGATGTCTTCCTTAGCAACTGATTACCAGCTAACTCTATATCAATTGGGAAATAGTTGATGTTGAGAAATGGCAACTGAAGAAATGAAGCAGCAATCTTACCTTTTATGACAATGAAGTAAAAAGACATAGGACTGCTTTCTAACTGAGATAGTTGCATATTTCTCACTATTATCAGATGATAGTATTCAAAGCAGGTAAAAATCTGGATTTTAAATACTACTTTTCAAGACAGCCAGATCTTTCATTCATTCTTCTACTCTCATTTTTTGCTGTATGACTTGATAAACTAAGTTCAAGAGAATTTTGACAAAATTAGAGTATTTAACTGAAAATACCTTCAGCAAATATGTATTTTTGTTCAATAGTTAAAATTTAATCATATGAAAATCATTTTTTGATGAAAATAAGAAAAACAAAAAAGTTGAGGAATAAATCAATATGTTGATTATTTGATGAACATTTATTTATTCAGACAAATGCTACAGATAAATTTCAGCAGATAAATTGCAATATTTTGAGATTTATTTCCCTTGGAATGATTCCGGATGATTATTGCCTCTTGTCATATTATCGTCTCTTCACATTGAATTGCTGAAATTAAATTAGAAATTAGAATCATTCTTTTAAAAGTTATTTTTTTATAACATGGATATTATATATATCTATTATTTTTATAACATGGATATTATATATATATCTTATTTCATAAATACTCCTTAGTTATTTGGATGAATGTACAGTAACATTTAATCATTAGAGTATGAGTACATGAAACCTTTAAATTAGTTGCTGATCTATTGATTAATATTGATATATTAAATGTGGAACTAATATTAACATATAATAATTGTAATATAAAAAGAGATCTTTTCAAGTGAGACCAGCTGTATTCATTTTTCAATGAAATAATTTTATTGTTTGTCTGTAATTATGAGACCAAACTGTTGCAAAAGAAAGCAACATTAAGCAAAATGCAGAATGAGAAAAGGGTCCTCTCCTATCTGGGTGATTGGTGAAATATGTCTTTTTTGCTTTTCAATTTCTTACAGTTTGACTTTAAATCTACTCACTCACCCAACTCTAGGTAGGTCTTTTGACCTGTTAGTCCAGAAGCAATTCTTCATATCAAGTTCTTCTCTTAGTATAAGTAATTAGATTTTATCCATCACAGACTTGTTAGGTCTGTCATACAGCACCTGGTATTCCCCAGTGGTTACCCATCTGAATACTAACCAGACTCAACATTGCTTAACTTCAGTGATCAAACAAGAACCACTGTTTTAATGTGATGTGGCTGAAGGCCAATACAAAACTGAATTGAGTAAATGACATGTAATAAGAATATGTATCATGTGAGTTTTATTGCAATACATTTCAGACACTTAACAGTTTATTAAAATACTTACATTTATTTGTGATGAAAAAACAATGCAGGCCAATTGATTTCTGGTAATAAAAATAAAGACCAGGTTAAATTTTTGGATGAACTGATATCACAATTGATTTTTTTACAAGTATCCAAGCATACATATGATATTTTAGAAAGAGAGTTTATCATAAAGTCCTTTTTTCATGAAGAGAGAAAACATAGAGAATTAGATTTGGCTATAATGATAACAGTTTTCTGAATTGATGACCTATGCTGTCTCCAGACGATTATTGTTATAGAAAGTATATTTGATAAACTGAGTTCAAATTCCAGCCTAGTGTGTTGTATTCACTTTCATGCTCATGCCATTGAGAAAGATATGAATTCATCTCTTGTTTTCCTCCACCAACTATGAATAAAATAGCAGGACAAACAGTCCTGGGTAGGAGCCAGTCTAGGAAAAGGATTAATCTGAATTCAAAGCTGTAGAGAGGGTTGTAGGAAACCATGACATGATCTTTGCCAAGATGTCATGGCATTCAAGGAAAATAATAAAAAGGAGTCTATGGAAAGCCTTAATCACATATATCCTGAATGAATATGTCATTAAAAGTAATCCTTCCTTTTATTTGATTTATGTAACTCATTTCTTTGACTTGTGTAACTCATTTCAAACATCCATTTTCTCAACTCCTGATTGACATTTTTAGAACTTCTACATGTGATTAAACTAGATTAAACTAAAATATGACTTTTTTTTTTCTTTTACTGATCCACAATATGTGAACTTTTTGTATGCAAACAATATGTTTCCACTTTTGTTTTGGTATACATTAGCAGGAAGTGAGTATCAGAATGAAATCTCCCGTTCTCTTCTGATAGTGAATATATTCATGGAGTAATTGGAGGAAATGAATTTAAGAGCAGGAATATTGAGAAAAAAAGAAGCACTTGGTTTAGGCACAGTTGAAAAGAATTTATACAGGAAGAGATGACCTATTTTCCACCCTGCAATCCTTTTCCATAGATGCAACATTTGTAAACCTTTTCCATATTCAGACAAGCTCCATTCTTCTTTGGTGTCACCAATTGAAACCCTTTAAAGCTATTCACAGCCTTGAATCACTTTCATTCCCTCTGTATTCCCTCGATAAGAAGAAAGTTCTATTCAGACAGTTTCTTTCCAAGAACTGCTACTTTCTGGAAAAGACTGTAAGCGGATGCTTTTCTGAACACTATAACGGTTAGTCATTAACTTTTCTACCTATTCTCATATTCACTTCCTACTTCCCCTTTTGTGTTCATAACACACACCGCATTCAGTAACCCTCTACCAGGAGTGGCTCTTTGACCTTGTATTATGAAAAACATTTTCAACTTATGTCAACAATTGCATTTGACATTGTAGGATTTTTAGCATAGTTAAACAATTTTGATAACCCAGTTTAACATATAAATTTGAATTTTGTAAATATCTACAATTTGGAATTGTATATTTGTTCTTACCTTGACTGACGGCACACAGTAATGCACACATTTTTTCACTATAGAAGGTGCACCAGATATCAAAATTATAATATTTTATTCCATCAGAGATACAAACTTGATTTCCATTTGACAGTTCTGAAAATATAGAGATAAATTTAATATCATTTAAATTGGCAGGTCACAGTTTTCCTTTTTTATACAAAGCAAATCATTAATGAAAATTTATAATCAATGAAATTATTAATAACTCACAAAGGTTACATAGAAGTCAGTATAAAGTGATAATGTGTTTATTTCCTCTTTCAAATACCTACTTCAGAAGAATAATATGTAAGTGAGTTTCACAGGTTTATTGTTTGTGAGTTTCATTCTTATACCGTACACTTTTATTGTGGCCCTCTACTAAAACTTGACTAATTCTTTTTAATATAAACATTAGTACTTTGCTGATATGGTTACACCTCATTTAACTTAACTCAATATTCATACATTTTAGATTGAAAAATATCAGCAACCACATCATCATTGCATTTGCATTTATTTGTTTATCAAAGTGTCTGGATATAATTGAATAATATCACATTGCACTGAAAACTGTAAAAATTGACTGTTTCTTCTAAATGCTGACTTAGTAAAATTTATTGCAATTGGAATCCTCTATTTGCACAAGCAATTGAAAATAATTTAAAATTAAAAACTGACTTTTCTCACAGGCATACAAAATGACAACTAAAATTCAGTACCAATTTCATACTTCATGGACAATTTTGCTTTAGTGTTGAAAGTTGAATTAAATTTAAATTCTTTTAAAGAGAAGCATGAAAAATAAAAAAAATTAATGCACTTTGTTGCAGTCACTACTTCTAACCCAAATAAAAGGAATGGCAATCAAAATTTTTGCATACAAATGACAAACAGATAAACATTTTTTTGTTTAAAATAAAAGCAATGTATTTTTACGAAAATTAGTTTTTGGAAACAGTGAGTGTATATATATATATATATATATATATATATATATATATATATATATGTATGTATGTATGTATGTGTGTGAGAGAGAGAGTGCTTGACAATTGTGGAAAAATGACTTACATGCTAGGCAGCAGCTATTCACGGAACAGAAATAAGGAAAAAAATATTTTTGAAAATGCACTGCTTTTTATACTCATTCTATATGACTTTCCACCAAATTTGTTTGTTTATGTTTTTGTTTACTTTAGATACTGTTTGATAAGAGTTGGTATTTTGCTGTGTCATATTATCTCAGGGCTTGTAAGTTGTTGTTGTTGTTGTGTAAATGTTGGTGTAGTACAAGTGTTGTTGCTATGTTCTTGAGAATTGAGCATCAACGCATGCTAGTTTAATGGAAATATTGTCTTTCTAAGAGAGGTAATTACTTGTGAAGAATTGTAAAATATTTATTAGCTCTCTTGTGTCCTGAATAAGATCCTTCATAATATGGAGTTAAATTATTTTTTACTGTGCCATTGTGAAAAAAAAAATAATCATGATTGCCCAGATCTTTTGAATATATATTTGTGTGGTTACTTGTCTTGGAGCAAATTGCAGCTACAAAAGTTTTGCTTTTACCTCCTGAACAAATGTTGTGAGTTCAATTTTTGTGTTACTATAAAAAAATTGACCAGAAAGAGTCAAAGTGATTCTGTAAACTATTTCAGCTGGAATACATCATAGATCATCCTTGACTATGTTTATTATGAAAAACATTACAAGTGACAAATTTTCTGCCCAGTTATTTTGATTGTTTCTGATGACTAAGGTAGTTTTTGATTATCAATGAAATTGTTCGATCATACTTGTGAGCAAGCAATCTTGTGACTTCTTTGAAAAGTTGTGAGTGGAATTGAAACCCACCATTTGTGGTGATTATGGAAAGAACACTAAAGCAGTGTCTTCACTATAATTTTAGCATGTGAATTTTCACTCAGATATGCAGCTGTTTATCAAGAGTGTAAATCTATTACTGTCAAAATATATTGGTAGCCCTGTGATGTATCTACCAGTTCAATATGTACATTAGTAAACCTTGTGTTTGGGTTACTAAATGTACCAATAGTATGTCTTGTAACCTTATTTTGCAGACATGCTAAGCAATTTTTTGTCCAAGTTCATATGTTTGTTATTATGCTTTGCTATACATATCTTTGAGTAACCATTTTGACAGTATCACTTATATCCCATGAAAATAGCCTTACATAGAAAAGGAGGTACATATGGTCTAGGATTCTCCAAGGAAATATTACAAAATAGTTTTTTTATCACTAAAAGGGGCAGGCAACTCTGAAATCTGTTAAGTCTGTGTGATGAATAATCATTTTTGATATAGTATCAGCTAAAGTATCTTGAAATCCAGAGATGTATTTGATATCTGAAGTGAACTGTGAAATTTAATCTAATTGTTGCAACTCTTTTGGTAAATGTTGATTTTAGATCATAGAAAAAGAGGTACATATGGTCTAGGATTCTCCAAGGAAATAGCTCGCTCCTGACACACTGGCCCGGCGACGAAACGAAGCATGTGACCGCTGCTACTAATGAACTCTCGTCTGACGCCTTGTCAAAGGGTACCTTTCCCCTTCCATAAGTCAAGTTAACTCCACGAACTTTACTTGCCACTACCATAGACATTCAACTTCTTAAATACGAACTTTTTACTTGTTCTTATTTTCCTCACTAAAAAGACTATAAAATATATCTACAGTCTTTCTTGTTCTTTCGATTCTGAATTTCATTGTTTGCAACCAAACGCAGTATTTCGCCCACATTATTTTCACATCGCCCACGTAACTAAATACGGAATATAACAAACATATGTTCTATATTACAAGAGGAATTGTTATCATTGTAAACTCAGTTTAATCTATCCAAGATTTTCTTACATTGAGTAAATACTTTTGAAACAAAGTCTTAAATAGAACACATTAACTTTGGTATTTTACTAATACATGTCCTATTTTTGCATTAAAAGAAATCTCTAAATTTATTGTGCATTAATATTCTGCCTTCTTACCTCCACAGAAATTATCTTTAAGGAAATTATGATTATTTTGGGATAATGGCATTATTCATCAAAATCTTAAATCTGTAAAAGGGTAAGTCATGATTTTAAAGTTATTTTTCTTTCCATTTCATTTACGCGTATGAATTATTTTTCTTTTATTACTAAACTGTACAAAAGGCTTATTGCATAATTCATGGAACTTATAAATTACTTTTATTACCATTGTCTTATTCAAGCCAAATTTGAAATTGTTGCATTTGACATTACAAAATTTGGCAGGATCATTTGGCATTACTGATGACCACTTTGACCTTCTTACAATTTTACTGTTTGTAACATCAATCATTTGGTATAGTGAATATTTTACGTACGTTTATAAGAAGCCAATTTTTTTTTACTACATACTATATTG